CCCCTCCGCCTGCCCGCCCCGGGACCGCGCTGCCGGAGCCGGGCCCTCCTTCGCCAGGCCGGGGCAGCGAGCGGGACGGGGATGGGTCCTGGCCCCACTATGCAAGGCGAGCTCTGGCTCCTTGTGCTGGTGCTCAGGGTGGCTGCCGGGGCGGTGAGCCCCCAGCCCGGAGCAGGTAGGACTGGCCGGAGTTGGCCTGAGTGGGACGGGTTGCGGGGAGGAACACGCAGGTGAGGGCACGGGCATGTACCGACCGGCGGGCGCTGTCCCTGAGAGGGTATTGTCCGCGGGAGGATAGGAGCTCTGTGGGCTGAGGGCAGGCGGACAGGGACCCTACTTTCCCCCACATGCCGGGTGGTGGACTGAGGGTGGTGGCATTAGACACCTATGCTCGGACCTCTCCTTCCCTCCTGGAAGAACAGCGGAGGGACCCCAGGAGAGACAGCTTTATGAGGCAGTGGTCTCTGACCCCAAAGGGGACAGTGGAAGAGTCATAGGGACCCCTGGTCACCCCAGGCAAGACTGAATTCTGTTGAGCCTTGTGAGGCTACTGCCCCAGATACACCTTCTTTTTCTCTTCCCTGCCCACCCCCAGCCTAACCCAGACTAGTTCTGAGTTGGATTTGGGGGCTAAGTGGGAGCAGCCAGGGGATGTCAGAGACACGGAATCTCTCTGGGCAAGGGAAGTAGCCATCTAACTCGCCTTCCTCTACCTGTTTGTGACCAGTAGAGAGGTGGTGGGCCCAGGAAGAAGCACTTTGCTCTTCCCCCTATACCCCAGCCTCAAGGGTCCCCTGTCACTCTTGCTCTGTTTTGTATTGGTGGCCTTTGGCCTTCAGCTGCTCTGGTTCTAGATGAGTTCTAGATGAGGTTCTACCTATCCCACACATTTCTCTTCCCTCATACCAGTTCTCCAAAATCATCTCTCCCACTTGGAAGCCCTTTCGTAAATCTACCTGGAATCCTTCATGTTATAAGAGAAGGAATATATATATATATATATATTTTTTTTTGGAGACAGAATCTCACTCTCACCCCCTGAGTTGAGTGCTGTAGTGTCATAGCTCACAGCAACCTCAAGCTCTTGGGCTCAAGCAATCGTCTTGCTTCCGTTTTTCTATTTTTAGTAGAGATGGGCCTTGATCTTGCTCAGGCTAGTCTCAAATTCCTAAGCTCAAGCAATCCATCCATCTCCCAGAATGCTAGGAATACAGGCATGAGCCACTGCACTCGACCGGGAGGACTATTTTTGACACATGACCTAAGTTCTTTCTATGGACCTAGACTTTCTCTGGGGTTGGGGAGATGGATAATTTGGCACAGGTGCCCCTCAGATGGGACAGGGGAGTCAAGGAGGATGCTGTAGTTGAGCTGTTGTGTCTCAGGGGTATGTTGGCCATCAGTGACAGTGCTCTTGACTTTAATGGTCACTGGAGCTGAGGCAGGCCTGGTGAGAAGAAGGGTGTAGGGTGGTGAACGAGGAAGGGTGGTAGAGGAAGGGTGCCCATAGTGGAGGTGTGGGCAGAGAGCAGTGGGAGCTGATGTGTGTCAAGAAGCTGCTGGTGCAGAACCACCAGTTTTCTTTTCTTTTCTTTTTTTTTTTTGAGACAGAGTCTCGCTATGTCACCCTTGGTAGAGTTCCGTGGTGTCACAGCTCACAGCAACTTCAAACTCTTGAGCTTAAGTGATTCTCTTGCCTCAGCCTTCCAAGTAGCTGGGCCTACAGGAGCCTGCCACAATGCCTGGCTATTTTTTTGTTGCAGTTGCTTTAACTGGCCTAGGCCAGGTTGGAACCTGCCACCTTTGGTATATGTGTCTGGTACTGTAACCACTGGGCTTCAGGTGTGGAGCCAGAACCACTAGTTTTCAGGGAGATCACACAGAGACTTGGCTTCTGTTCCTGCCATCTCACTTGCTGTGTGACCTTAGGCAAATTACTTTCCTTCTCTGGGCCTGTTTCTGCACTTATAAAGTTAGACTGTTAGCAAAATCTTTGACTCTGGGTAGTGGGATTATGAGGGATTTTTTTTTCTCTTTTATGATTGTCTTTCTTTTCATATTTGTTATGATATGTAAAAGTAATTGATAATGCAGAAAAATCAATGTAAACATGAAGGAGTTAGACAGGTTAATTACTGAGATCCTTTGTAGCCCCAACCTGTCATAATCTTCTGAACTTGGGGAGTAACTGGGTTCACAAGGGAGGGATCGGAACTTCTGACTGAACTGGGTGAACCATGGAGAGGATTGGGGAAGTGGAATTAGGAGGGACTAAGGATGGACTGGGAGATGGTGGCCAGACCCAGGTCTGGCTGAGGGCTGTCTCTTCAGAGTCCGATTTGGGTAGTAAACAGTAGCGGAGACAGGCAGAGACTTGAATCACTTCTGTAAGTAGAGGGCACCCTGTCTTCTTGGTTTTGATGGAAGTTCAGCCAGGAGAAATGGACTGCAGCAGGAGAGATTGAGGTTAGACTTAAGGAAGCTGTGAGAAACTACAGGAAGCAGCTATTGACTCTCCAGTGCTCTTTTTACAGACAATGCTGGATTTGAGGGAGAGTCTGTGTGGAGGCAGGGGGTATCTTCTAGGGAGGACATTTGTAGGAAGAGGACCTTCTGGGGGATGGTTGGTAAGGAAGAACCACCTGGCTTTGATGGATGGTGGAGCCCTTGTGACCAGTGAAATTGGCAGCCAGGAGCAGGACCTGAACAGATGCTTGCTTCCAGCCCAGGGCTCTGGGTTCTCTGGGTTGTGTGTGTGGGGGGAGAGATCTCTCCTCCCTTGTGATGGATGGGCTTGTTTGGTAGAGCCTTGATATATCATCCATCTTTAGAACAGGAACATCGGGGAGATGCATGACCATGGAATAGCCAGGCAGCAGGGGAGACCAGGCTGACAGACAGGAAGATGGCTTTGGGGTGCATAGTGGGGGCACTGAAGTTCTGGCCCAGATGGAACTAGAGGCTCCTACAACTGACACAGGGAGGAAAAAGCTGAAGGTGGTATCCTGGCCTCAGAACCTTGTGCGAGGCCAGGTCCTGTGCCAATTCCAGTTGAGGGACTCTGACAATGTGATCTTTTCTCTGACGCTTGATTTCCCTTTCTATAAAATGGGGGAGTGTTGGACCAGATTGTCTCTAGGGCTTCATCTAGCCAAGATTGGGTTTCAGACTTCCACCTCATTCATCAGGGACTTCTCACAAACAGGCTAAAATTAAAACTTCTTGTGGTGGCCACCAGACAGGCCCTGTCTCCACCTGCACATCTTTCACTCTCCCCAGGCGCATCCCATAACCCACTCCAGACTGTCACCCCCTTGGATTGACAAGTAACTGGCTTCTTCTCAACTGGGTCTTAATTGGCTCAAGGGTCACCTCCTCAGAGAGGCACACCCAGATGGCTCTGTCCAAACCCTCAGCCCTTCCATCAGTCTGATTTTCTTCACAGCACTTACCACTGCCTCACATTGCCTTATTTGTATGTGTTTCTGTGAGTAAGATCAGAATCTTCCTGGGCACAGGGACTGTGTTAGCCTGTTCATCTCCCTAGCACCCAGCACAGTGCCAGGCACATAGTAAGTCTCAGTAAATATTGAGTAAATATTGAACGAGTAAGTGAGCAAGTGAATCAGGGGCACAGACCCCAGACTCTCCCATCAGGGGAAACCTGTACAATGCTGAGCTCTTCTTTTCCCTCCTTCTCCCCTTCCCTCCCTTCCCCTCTTCCCTTCTCCCTCTGCTACCTAGCAGGCCTCTGCCACTTCCTTATGCCTCCCTCCCTTTCCCCAGGGAAGGGTCCTCCATGGGTGCCTACCTACCAGAAGGAGGGGAGCAGGTACAGTTGGGGGGTTTATAACTAGGAGGCAGGATTTCAGCTTAGCCTTCACCAGGCTCCTTGGAGAGTCAGTCATCCCATGAAACCCAAGGAAGGCAGAAAGACTTCTCTGGGTGTTCTATGTATGTTATTTTGTCAAAGACCCCAAACTACACACCAAGTATAGATTTTAACATTCCCATTTTACAGATGAGGAAACTGAGGCTTAGAGAGATTATGTAACTTGTCCAGTGTCACAGTCAGTAAGTGGTAGATTTGGGGTTTGACCTTGAGCTTGTCTGATGCCAAACCTGTGCCCTTTTGTTGCTGTGATATTATAATAAATATTTTCAGAGGAGACAAGAGCTCTCAATTCCATATATCTCAGTATTGGGGACATTTAAAGATGCTTGCCACCTTTCCCTTGCCTTCTGTCCCACCCTCCCTTCCTCCTGTCCAGTCCATATGTGCTTACTGAACAGGTGCTCTGTCAGGCACCCAGAGCTTTGGGGTACACTGTCAACAAGTGGTAACATGTGAGATCTCAGCCAGGATGATGCATTTAGCTTTTGGGGTGAGGGAGAGAGGTGTCAGAGGGATCTCTGGGAAAAAGTGACACTTGTGAGTTTGAAGGATGAGCAAGAACTCATCAGAAGAAAGGTTGATTTATGGAACAGAATGGTCCTGGCTGAAAAATCTGCCATGTGTGAAGCCCCATGGCTGGGTCTGGAGAGGACTTCAGGGAGTCTTGATGCTGGAGGAGTGACTAGGGAACCTGGCCATGAAGGGCCTTGAATCAGTTGGAAGGATGTAGTAAGCGGGAAGCATGAGAGAGAAAAATCAAGTTTGTCCTCTAGATGGCTTGTTCTAGCTAAAGTGTGGGAGACTAGCTCTGGGACACTGAGGAGAGAGGCTGCAGTAACTGCCAGGGGAGAGGCTGTAGTGGCCTGGATGGTGTGGTGGCCGTGGGTCAGTCTGTGGGGTGGCATAGGCCTCCTGAGCCTGGAGCAGGACAGTACCAGGTGAGAGAACACAGTCTCCCAGGGCAGCTCCCAGGTTGAGACTCAATGGCTTCTAGGCCAGGCCCCTTGGGGAACCCAGCCACATGCCAGTCCTGGCCTGGGGCTGCCCCTGCACCTTAGGAAATGGCTGGGGGCTGTCGATCACTTCTGTGCACACTTTCTGTGGTTCTGAGCAGACCCTGGAGCCAAACTGCCTGAGTTCAAATCCTATCATAGATTAGTTCTGTGACCTTGGGAGGCTCCTTAATGTCTTTGTGCCTCTGTTTCCTCATTTGTAAAATAGATCTGAAACTAGTACCTATCTTATGGGGTTATTGTGGGGATTTAATGAGTTAATGTATT